ATAGTTTGGTCTTTTTAATCTAAGCTGACAATCTGTGCCTTTTTATTTCATGTCAATATTGATATGGTCAGGTTTTAAGTCTAGGGTCTTGTTATTTATTTTCTTCTTTGTTGTCTTTTTCCTCTTTCTGCTTTCATTTAAATTAGTTGAGCATCTTTCATTATTCCATTTTATCTTTTTTGCTAACATATTAACTGTAAATCTAGTTATTTTAGGGGATGCATCTTTAACTTACCCTAGTCTATCTTCAAACAATATTGTACCACTTCACTTATAGTTTAAGAACCTTACAGCATAAGCGTATTTCTGTTTCTCCCCTCCTGGCCTTTGTGCTATTATTTCACACATTTTACATCTACTTATATTGTTAATACCACACTCTGTTGTTTAATTATCAATTATCTTTAAAGAGGTTTAAATAATAAAAAATATCTTTTGTGTCTGCCTACATATGTAACATTTTCACTGCTTTGCATTTCTTTCTGTAACTGTAGATATTCATTTGGTGTTATTTTCCATCTGCCTGATGGACTTCCTTTGACATTTCTTATGCGCCATAAAGAAAAATATTGTTATAAATGGCTATATAAATATTATAAACCTTCTCTTGAAGGACACCATAAATTTTAAAAACAAAAGGATGGGGCAAAATTTTTGCAACATATTGGAGTAATAGTAACAGCATATATAATAATAATAATAATAGCAGATATTGACGCTGTGCTGTGCTAGTACCAGGCACTATACTAAATGCTTTACCATGTATTTTCTCATTTAATCCTTAGAACAGCCATTTGAGGTAATTTCCACCCCCATTTTACAAATAAGGATATGATAACAACAAGTAGGGGGCTAATGTCCATAACAATCAGAGATGTCCTAAAAAATCAATCAATAAACAGAAATCTGTGCCAATTCTCAGAAGAAACACGAATAGCCGATAAATGGAAAAGTAATTCTCAGCTTCTGTCGTAATCAGGAGAATGAGATCATTTTTTAAGCTACCCAACTGGCAAAAATAAGAGGCAGTGATACTAATATTGGCAAAATATGAAGAAGGATGTGCTCGTACACTACTAGAAGTATTAATTGGTGCATTTTTTAGAAGGCCATTTAGCTTTACCTGTTGGTATTTAAAATATACATATCCTTTGCCCAGATGACTGTCGTCTGGAAATCGTTTTACAAATTCCCAAGGAAAAATGACTTTTACGTGTGTGTGTGTGTGTCTGTGTCTGTGTCTGTGTTTGTAGTGGAGAACAATTGAAGATAACCTGACTGTCAATAACATGGTGTTAAAATGAACGATGGCTTAGCCATATAGTAGAGTAGCCGTTGAAAAGAATGAGTGTGTGGGGAAACAGGCAATTTGATGGGCTGCTGCTGAGAGATATAAATGGGTACAACTTCTCTGGGGAGAATTTTCAAAACAGATATCAAAAGTCCCCATTCAGACTATATGCCTTTCCCCCATGTGTATGCTAGATTATTGAATGGAAAGAAAAAAGTTACAGAAAAATATGTTGTAAAACCCAATTGGGTGTTTTCTTAATGATATGGGTACTCATATATTTGTACATTCCTAGAAGAAGGTTTAGAAAGATTCACATCAAATCTTTAACAATAGTTATCTCCGGAAAGGAAGGATTTCAACTTTTTAAATGTCTCCCTTACTTGAATTTTACAACTTGTGACATAGTTTTGAAAAAACAATCTTAAAAAAGATATATTGGTTGTAATTGCCAAGAACACATAGTGAAACAGACTCAAAAGAAGCAAGATTGGGGGCCGGCCTAATGGCAGCGTAGCAGTTACGTTCACATGCTCCTCTTTGGCAGCCCAGGTTCGCTGGTTTGGTCATTGTCACGGATCTACACACTGCTCATCAAGCCATGCTGTGGCAGGCGTCCCACATATAAAATAGAGGAAGATGAGCACAGATGTTAGCTCTGGGCCAGTCTTACTCAGCAAAAAGAGGAGGATTAGCATTGGATGTTAGCTCAGGGCTAATCTTCCTCAAAAATAAAACAAAAAAAGAAGCAAGATTATTTCTCCCCATGGGTCTCCAAGCCAGATCAATCAAGGTTCTTCCTTCCTAGGTTTAAATGGAATTTTATTTTTAAAGCTAAGTGTTGGGCTCTAGCTGTAGAGCTCAGTAGAACTTAAAAGAACTGAAATTTTACAGACCCCAAGTTCCACAGTGCAAGACTAAGCTAGTTAGTGAGCAGTGAGACGAGAACCATGGCACATGGCATTTATAATCTTTACAAACTCATATCAAAATTAAAATATTTTAAATTGCACAACTGCAATTAAAGTTCTTGTTCTAGGTTGTACATTGTGAATTTGAAATTGTGGTCCGAGTTATAATATGGTAATGAGATGCGCACATTCCCCTTTACAGGGAAAGCGGCAGCACACACCCACTCAGAGGGCTGGCCAGTGCGGGCCTTGCCTGTAGGAGACCATTGGAAGGCTGCCTTCGCCACCTGTTGCCCTGCTTCCATATAATATCCTAATAACAAAATAGAGTGTTCTTCATTTCTGTGAAATATGTAGTAAAATTGTTTAGCTAAAAATTTCCTGGAAAACACTGTAACTCCTCAGATGAGGGAAACAATAGAAAGAATAAACAAATGGGACTTCATCAGACTAAAGAGTTTCTTCAAAGCAAGGGAAAACAGGATTGAAACAAAAAAACAGCCCACTCATTGGGAAAAAATATTTACAAGCTACTTATCCGACAAAGGATTAATATCCATAATATACAAAGAACTCACACAGCTTAACAACAAAAAAACAAACAACCCGATCAAAAAATGGGCAGAGGACATGAACAGACATTTCTCCAAAGAAGATATAAGTATGGCCAATAGACACATGAAAAGATGTTCATCATCGCTAATCATCAGGGAAATGCAAATCAAAACTACACTAAGATATCACCTTACACCCATTAGATTGGCAAAAATATCCAAAACCAAAAGTGACAAATGTTAGAGAGGTTGTGGAGAAAAAGGAACCCTCATACACTGTTGGTGGGAATGCAAACTAGTGCAGCCACTATGGAAAACAGTATGGAGATTTCTCAAAAAGTTAAAAATAGAAATACCCTATGACCCAGCTATCCCACTACTGGGTATCTATCCTAAGAACCTGAAATCAAGAATCCCATGCACCCCTATGTTCATCGCAGCATTATTTACAATAGCCAAGACGTGGAACCAACCTAAATGCCCAGAAACTGACAACTGGATAAAGAAGATGTGGTATATATACACAATGGAATACTACTCAGCCATAAAAAAGGACCAGATTGTTCCATTCGCATCAACATGAATGGACCTTGAGGGTATTATGTTAAGCGAAATAAGCCAGACAGAGAAAGTCGAATTCTATATGACCTCACTTATAGGAGAACCGATCCGTGGTTACCAGGGAAAAGGGGGGGTGGAGGGAGGGCACAAAGGGTGAAGTGGTGTACCCACAAAATTACTAACAATAATGTACAACTGAAATCTCACAAGGTTGTAATCTATCATAATCTTAATAAAAAAAATTTCCTGGAAAGGGTAAATTTCCAGGAAAGAATATTACAAATTAGAATTTAAGCATCAGTTATTAGACAGGAGACAAGAAATCATTGCTTCTAGTGAAAGAATACTGTTGTGTGTTAGGTCTTAAGCAAAGTCACCTCAAAGTTTTCCAGGTAAATGTTAGAACCTGGGAGGTGTTTTTCTTTGGTAAAGAATTGTTGTTATAAACTGTTTGTGTTGGAATTTTTTTATCTAGAAAAGTCAATCATATATTTAGTACATCATGCAAATTGAATATTTTGTACATAGGTATCCTTACTATATTGAACACTTAGAAATTTTCCTATCTTATAATAGGACTTTTTTTTCTTTTCCAAATTGCCCAGACCCAGAGTAATATTTTCATGTGGAAAAAAAGAAATCTGTCTTTATCGTTTTTTTTAAATAATTATTAGAGAAAATTGAATGTAATGAAATTTAAGCCAGTTAGCCTGTTATTTTCTATGTACATAGAGGAAAATGAAGGAATGTATTTCTTGGAAAATGCCTATAAATGGAAGCCATTACATAAAACTACACTATTTACCAAAGTTACTTCTATCTCTAAAGGAAATCTTTTTACATGGCATGATGTTGCACTACATAAATAAGAAGGACGATAGTACAAACACTTCTCCTGAGAGCTAACAGGATAACAGGAATTATTCCAAGTACTTTGCATTCAGTATTTCATTTCATTGTTGCAACAATCCTATAATATAAGTATTCTCATTACTCAATTTACAAATAAGGATCTGAGTCTTCAGGAGGTTAAATAACTTGCTCAAGGTCACAGAGCTTCTAAATGACAGAGCCAGGGTTTGAATCCGTGTGATCTGGCTCCAAAATCTAAGTTCATAAACTCTCTGTCTGCAGAGTAGGATTCAAGAGGGAGGACTTGAGAGCTATACAAATACAACGCTGCTTTTATCTGAAGGGTGCCCAGCAATGTCTATTCTACTGCCTGGCTGGGAAGCTGAAATTCTGTCATTATGGATTCACTGCTTTGGGTTTACAAGACTTGGGGATATGAGGGGTCTCCAGTTAAAATGCAGATATTCACTTGAGGAGTTATACACATCTAAAGGGATAATGACAGGGTCCAGGAACACAGTCATGGAACACAGGGCTGATCGCTGTAGAGCAGCAAGGGAGGAAGGAGATAGGGACTTGGAAACTCCACATGAGGAGAGAGAGGCCAGCAGCCAACTAGCCTCAGAGGATTTTTGCCAAAGGCTGACAAAAGATAGCCAACAATTTAAGTTTTTTATGACACAGTACAGTAATCAATAAGATGTGGAGTTTGTAAATATCATTTCACTATATACCATTTACCATCTCTTTGATTCTAGGAAACACAGCACAGCTGATGCCACACAACACTGATGTGTTATATTAACTAAAAGCCTTTCCTTTGTCTTACAGCAATCAGCAGGCCTTTTTACTGGAGAACGTCCCTTGTAATAATGCAAGCTGCGAAGGGGCACATCGTATGTTTAGAGTCTACTGGGAGCTGATGGACCTAAATCAAATCAGGGACGCCGTGGTTGCCACCTTCTTTGACATTTACGAAGATGTGAGTACAGAGCTCTCCTGTGTGTTTGGCTTCTAATTGCCAGCTACCTCATCTCACTTTCGCTACACCCTGTTTGACCAGGAAATGTAGACGAGATAATGAAAGCAAATGAGTTAAAGCAAGCCCCTTTTACGTTAAATGGCAGAGGGAACAAATTTATTGACACCATTGGCTGATCAGTACAGTGAAATATGAAAATGCCTTTATCTCATTTTGTGCTTATTTAGATTAAACCTCTAGAGAATCATCTTCTGAGACTGCCAAATGTACATGTGCATCAGTAGACAAAAGCACAGCCAACAGGCAAAGACCCTGCAAAGAGCAAGGAGCATGAGTTCAGTGCTCTCTTTTAACTTTGTGAACTAGAGGACAGATTCTTGTGACTCTGTCTTCATGTGCCAGGTGCCCTTGTGAAAGGCACTCAGGGCCCAGGTTTCCACCTTTCTAATGTGAAAAGCCAGTCTACCACTCAGAAAAATAATAAATTCTAATAAAAATGTGTTAAATTCCAGAGTTAATGTATCACAGTATATCCTTGTAAAATAACTTGAGTATTTTAAAAAGTTAAATATCCATCAGGACATTTATGTCTGCCTCAACCCCGTTTTTTATTTTCTTTTGTTTTTTATAAGAGGCCAATTTTCAATTATATGAATTATGCAGGTCCTTATTTTCTTCTGTCTCTCTGCTACAAAATCTTATATTATTTCACTTTTTATTAGCAGTTTCCAAGCATAAAATTAATTGGCAAAAATATCACCAGGAAAAAATCAAGAGAATTGACTACAGATCAATTTTTAATTTCTGTACATAAAAAAATCATAAATGAAATTTAAAATTGTTTTTAAATCTGGGAAATAAAGTTGCTATGAAAGAGTCAAATAATTAATATCCTTAATATAAAAAAGGGTTTATACAAACTGATATAAGTCACCAAAAATTCCCTCTGGAAAAACAGAACATAGTCAATTTAGAGAAAAAACACAAGTGGCTAACATTTGAAAAAATACCATAAATGATCAACCTCATTAAGAGTCAATGGAATGGAAATGAACACACCTTTTTTTCCCACTGATAAAATTAGCAAAGCTTCCCCGTTTTTTAGGAAAAAGAAAATGATAATATGCTGTAGTAGCCAGGACAGATGAAAAGATACTCTTCTTTCTCTGATGTTTGGAAATGGTTTGGCAGTCCATATCATAGGCCTATAAAAATTCATGCAAATACGAATGGAAGGAAATATGTTAAAATGCTAACAATTATCTCCAGAGATTAAAATTACAGATTTTTTCATTTTATTTATATTTTACTATTCAACTTTTTATATATTTTGAATGTTGAATTGAATAAATAAGGTTTATATTTACATGATAAACATGCCATGCTTTTTCATCATTTTTTCTCAGTCAGTTGAGTAGTTTCTTCTTACCTTTTTTATGTTTTTTTCCAGGGAATCTTGGACATTATAGTACTGAGTAAAGGATATACAAAGAATGATTTTGCTATCCATACACTAAAAAATAACTTTGAAGCAGATGCTTATTTTGTGAAAGTTATTGGTGAGTATTTGTTTTATATATTTTATTATTAAATATTAACCTTAAGTTTGTATTCTCTCTCTGTTAACACAAATTTTCCAAAGAGTGAGGCACACTCCTACATAACCTATTTACGACTCTCCAAATCAGGAAATCAACTTCAATACAACGCTACCGTCCTGTGCTCAGACCCTGTTCAAATTTCAGCAACTATCCCAACAATGACTTTTTTCTTTCTGGTCCAGGATTCTGTCCAGGAATACCTATTGCATTTAATTGTCATATCTTTGCAGACTTCTTCAATCTGGAACAGTTCTTTTTCATGTTCTTATCAGTTTGAAAGAATACAGGGCTTACATTCTGTAAGATAACCCTCTTTCCTCATTACCCGACTCAGGTCGTCCGTTCTTTGCAGAAATTCCCCTTACAGAATTGCAGAACCAATGCTGTGCACTTCTCCATGCATTATGTCAGGAAGCAGGAAGTGTGATGTTGACCTGCCCTGCCACCATGTTGTTGACCTTGATCATCTGGTCATCTTGATGACCACCAGGTTTATCCAGCTTAAATTCAATATGTTCCTCCTTGTAATTGATTAGTGTTTTTTGGAGAGGTATTCTGATACTACTTTAATCTTTTTCCTCCTCAAATCTCTACCTACTAGCGAGAGTCCATTGCCCGCTTCTGCCTAAATCAACCAATATGATAGTTGTCAAAGAATGTTGTCTATTTCCAACATTCCTTCTACATTTATTAGTTGGCATTCTACCATAAGAAGATCTTTCAGGGCTGGCCCCATGGCCGAGTGGTTAAGTTCATGCACTCCACTTCAGTGGCCCAAGGTTTCACCAGTTTGGATCCTGGGCATGCACATGGCACTACTCATCAGGCCATGTTGAGGTGGCATCCCACATAACACAACCAGAAGGACCTACAACTAGAATATACAACTATGTACTGGGGAGCTTTGGGGAGAAGAAGAAAGAAAAAGAAAAGATTGGCAACAGATGTTAGCTCAGGTGCCAATCTTTAAGAAAAAAAAGAAAAAAGAAGATCTTTCACTTCTCTCCCATATATTTATGTATTCATTTATCAGTATAGATCTGTGTATTCATATTTTATTTAATAAATAAAATCTTTTAATTTTCAAATTGTTCCCTATGGAGGCAGTAGGAGCTCCTTTAGGTTGGCTGCTATATCTTTTTGACATGTTTTCTGGCATAGCAAGGTACACCAGATTCATCCTTTACCTCCCTTGCCCTAAGTGTAGAAGTGGATCTTTTTCCAAGGAGCCCTGCTTTCTTTTAGTAGAGGTTAATATTTAAAAACCAAGTTTTGCATAGTCATTGTGCTGGTTGCTACTGGGTTGTCCTTTCTTCTAGGTTCTCTCAATGGACAGAGCTAGGAAATACAAGTATGGCTTCACTCAGATACAACACACAAATACACACATCTATATTATTTATACACACACACACACACACACACACACACACATGCATATACATATCCTATAAAACCATGAATTCATACCGTTAACTTCCATTTCTAATCCAACATCACATTTCAAGGGTTCTTTCTAATCTTTTCTGTTTGTAGATATCTTTGCTAGCACTGAGAAACTCAGCTCCCATTTTCCTCAATATATTTACCTATTTGTTCATTGTTACCTGTTGCCAACCATGCTAGTCATGTCCTCCACCTGCCACCCATGTTCATCATAGAGACCCTGCACATGTTTTATTAACTGTATCCCTAAGTATTTTATTTTTTTGAAGTGATGTGTTACTGTGTTTTTAAGTTTGGTTTCCACATGTTTGTTTTAGTATATAGAAATGCAATTGATTTTTGTGTGTTGATCTTGTATAATGCAACCTTGCTCAACTCACTTATTGGTTCTAGGAGGTTTTTTTAGATTGCATGCAATTTTCTACGTGGACAATCAGCTCATCTGCAAAAAGGGACCGTTTTATTTCTTCCTTTAAAATGTATGCCTTTTTTTTTTCTTTTTCTTTCTGGCTGGAATTTCCATCACTGTGTTGAATAAGATTGGTAAGAGTGGACATCTTGTGTTGTTTCTGATCTTAGGGGGAAAGCATTCCGTCTTGCACCATTAAGTATGATGTTAGCTGTGGATGTTTTGTAGATACTCTGTTTTCTGTTAAGGACGTTTCCCCTATTTCTAGTATGCTGAGTGCTTTATCATGATTTGGTGTTGGAAGGTAACTTTTTGGGTTACTCTTATTATAGTTGACATCAAGACAGTCACATCAGTTCATCTGTTAATGAGATGACATGTATTTCATATAAATATTACCATTTTGAAATGGGTACAAGTAGCTGAACACAGAAAAGCAACAGAATAATGAAAGATTATTGGGAGATTTATTTGAGAAATAAAAATGGCAGAAAATCTAATTCTTTCTAACCAGCAAATTCACTCTTACTTGAATGAACTAGGAGTAACTCTTGTCTTCATTACTGTTGCAGCCACAGAATAGATATTATGAGTCTAACCATTTCTATAGTTTTTATCCATGTGACTCTCTCCTTCTCTTTGCCATTTGAAGGAGGTATTATTTGACTGTTTTACAGCTAAAAAAAATTTAAATATTCTATATATTTGGTATGCTATTAGCTTCTTTAGTTTGAAGTGTGTTTTTTCTCAGTGGTTTTCCTTGAACTTTTAATTTTCCAGATAAGAAGACTAGGAATCCTTAAAACTTAGCAACCCTAAATGTATATGTAATTAGAAAAACCTGGTTCGATTCATTTAATTGATACAAGGCTGTTGGAGTAACAGTTTGGAATTTGATCCCTTCCGATAAATACTAAGTACAGCCATTGACTAAGGCAGGCTTTGGTTGCCAACGGGAGATTCAACAAAAGCAAACATCTCAACATCTGCTCTGTGCCCTTGGATCACTAGAATCATCGTCCTTTGTGATGACAGCACGCTCTTAGTTCCCATGTATTTTAGTGTCACACATAATCGTCTCCCCTCCCTGCCTCCATCCATCCCAGGATATTTGAGAAGCACTCTGAAATAATGTATTTATTTAGGTCATTTGCTTACCATCTTTCTCTCCGAGTATATTGTGATAGTCTAAGCAGCTTGGGGGTTAGTGTCTATGTCTTATTTGTCTGTGATTCCCCAGTACCTAACTCAGGGCCTGGCATAAGAGGAGGCATTCAGGACATATGTTAGACAAATGACCGGCTACTTTTTGAGGCACAGATTGATTGGCTATCTTGATTTAAAAGTGTTTCCTCTAGTACCAAAGCAACACTTGATGCCTCTCACCCCATGTTCTGTCTCTAGGAAGCATTCCACCAAAATATGAACTCTAATTCAAGGACACATTTCCACCTTTACCCATTTTCTGATATCAGGGACACAGCTAGTCAATACTTTGTTTCTTAAAAAGAGAATTTATTGAGCCTTAGTGAATGAATTAACCCTGCCCTGGTTTAACTTCTCAAGTCTACCCATCTTTTCAGACTCTCTGTGACTGGAAACTCTAACTTAATTTCCCAGGCTTACAACACCAAAAGTACACAGAAAGAATAACGTGTAGTGAGTAAGAGCAGGGTTCTCTCTAGTTACCTTAGGAGATGCTGTGAAAATGACCATTTGCTCCAACCTAGAATAAATGTTATTTGTTTCAAAAATGCATTTTGAAATTCAAGTTAATTCTCTTTCAAAGTATCTTCTTTCTGTTTAATGAGATAGCTGTAAGATTTGTAGCTGTAGGAGTTTTGCCAGTGTGCTTTAAAGAAACTATTTTCTCAAGTTTGAAGCTTTCAAAAAAACACAGATTTATTACTTAGTTCATCTGAATTTGGTGTGTCCATGTGTCTATCTGTATGGATTGAAGATTAGTGCTTTCTAGAACAGGTGTTAGTCATTGAGGGGTAAGGAAAAATTCAGGTGAGAGAGATATTAATTTGTATGTGGTTAAGACAAATCAGGTTCACCCTGCACCCTTTTATTCAAGCCTTAAAACTACTTTTCTACTAAATATTCTTTGTTTTGTACTCTTAAAAAATTTGATTGTCTTCATACTCTACTTATCACAGGTTTGTCAGCTGCCACGAGGGCGTGCAATGCCGCTGTGCCCTGCTTGAGTCTGCAGGCCCTTTCCGAAGCAGAGGTTGTCAGTCATGGGAGGCAGAAGTGAATCAGAGCATAGGGTTTTCCTAACTGAGAAGGGATTCCAATTCCCAGCTGTAATAATAATAATAATAATGAAATGCTAAAGAGAGAAGGCCGTTCTCAGTGTGAGGCAGAAGCCAGTCTCACCTTTTTTGTTTTTAATTGATCATTTGGAAATTGTCCATGTAGAAAAATGCATACATATAATTTAGGATCCTCAATCCTTCCTTGGTATTTGTTCATTTACATTTTTAAAAATTACAAAAAGATGAGGGAATTTTAGAGATGAGAAAGGCCTCAGAAGGCATCTTGCCCAAGTCCAACCCAATGTGCCATCTCAGCCAGCTTCTCTTGAATGCCTTGCAGTAAAGCTCACCTCCTCGGACAGCAGCACACACTTCTTCTGAGTCAGTTTAGTTGCTGGAAAATTTGTTCTGTATGAAATCAAAATGTGTATATTTAGTTACTTCTGTCTGTTGACACTAGTGTCTGATATGTTGTAGACCCTTGATAAGTATCTGTTGAATGAAAAACAATTAGTCCTAATAAAACTATGAACAGTTTTTGTCCTTAAAGCAGACCATAAATTCTAACTGTAGTAACAGAATGCTTATAAACACATTATGGTCCTGCTTGGGGATAAAGCAAACTTACTTAAAGAGTTAAATAATGAGACAACAGACTACTTGAAAATGAAAAGACGTGTCTGAGGTGTTTCTTTAAAGTAGTCCAGGGATGTAGGAAACGGAATATAGATGTTGTTGACAAGTGAAGTCGTGTGAAGTGTGAGTGGGGTTCTTTATACTGTTCTTTCTGATTTTGTATATGTTTAAAAAATTTCATGTAAAAAGTTTAAAATCCACAG